ACCAGTCTCATAATGTAGAACTAAAAACATCATACATTGAAAAACCCATTTCCTTTGGGTTTATAAAAATCAGTGACAAACCATGGCCAGTGTAGAATAGAATCATGGAATCATAGAGTAGTTTGGTTTGGAAGGGACTTTCAAAGGTCACCTAGACCAGCCCAAGGGACAGCTTTCACTAGACCAGGTTGTTCAAAGGCCCATCCAACCTGGCATTCAACACTTCCAGGGATGGGGCAGCCACAGCTGCTCTGGGCAACATTCAGAGTCACAGCTGAGTCTGGAGCATCCAGCCTTACAGAGCAGGAACTCCATCCTGGACACCAGAAAGGGACAACTACAAACAAGGGTGGAAGCTGGGACAGGCAGCTGAGGGTCTCTCATTGTTCACCCAGGTTCCCTTGGCACTGTGGCATTGCAGGCTCCTCCAAAGCATCAAAATTAGGCTTCTGCCCATATTTTACTCTCCAGGGAAATATGATTCCAATTAGAGACAAGAAAGCATCAAGCAATTTATCAGGGTAAACAAGATGTCACATGCAAGGCTGCAGAAAAGCATCACATACATTCTCCCTAATAAAGAGGATTTTTCTACAGTTGTGACACCCATTGAAAAGCTAACAAAAATGTAGCTGGAGCAGATGGTAGCTGAAAATATGCACCCTAGAGCAGGAACTTGAGCAGCAGAGTAAGTCCCTGGTACTGAAAGGGCACAATTCCCAACACCCAAATCCCATGGCTCTAAAGCACAGGTGGAGCCATGCACCAAGCTCTACTGGGAATATGGATAGTCAGCAAATAAAAGTGAGACCATGGAGAGAATTTGGAGGTGAATTTTCAAATCTAATCAGATCTGAGATCACTACCAAGGGTTTTTGTCATACTCATAACAGGCATGATTTGGTTTGTTATTATATATTCATATGGTTCCATTCAGAACAACCTTGTTTCATTACAATGGATTCCACTGCGCTTCCCAGTCCTGCTTCATTTCTACCAAGGCAAATTCTTCAGGAGATTAACCTGACACATTTACTCCCCTGATAATAGATCTTGTCTTTTCTGATATCATTACCAATTTCAAGCACATAGCAAGAAATAGGCTTAAAATTTTTTAAAAGCAGTGACTTGAAAGCTTTCTTGTTCCCACATTTTCTTGGTACAACACATTTCACTTTACACGTAATGTTATAAAATTCAGCTCAAGTAAATATAAAATAAATTATTAAGCTTCTAACCAGATACTTCCAGTCCTAAAAGCCCTCTTTATTGAACTTGAAGTGCTCCAGCACATGGCACAGCTCTAACTGGAGTTCAGATTTTAAGGGGCTTGAAGTGGCAATTGTTCTTTTCTTGGAGTTCAACATATTATTCTTATGTTTCATGTGCACAGAAGACATTAGTGAAGATAAACTGTGCAACTGGTAATTGAAATTAGAGCTGCACCATCTATTATAGTAGCATCCACTGTGCCACATCTTCAACACAGTGGGAATGAAAAGGCTTTTGCATAGGAAGCACTAGTCGTGATACTCACTGGAAGAAAAATGCAGCAAGAAATGGAATGAAATACATTTACGCAACATAAAGTTTCCTGAAATTACTTACATTGTCATTACTAGTCTTCTACCATCCTGACAGATAAAATAAGTAAACCCCTAGTATAATTCTGGGAGCTGTGTCTGAGGAAAGCCAGGCTCTTTCTAAAGCTCAAAAAGTTCACAGTAAAGAAACCTGTTCAAAACATCAGTTTGCTTCTGAAAATACTGATGCACATAATATCTACTCCTAACAGGGAGAAACCTACATGATCTTTGGAAGAATTCTTTGAACTACCTTCCTCCCAAAATTGCAGAAATTACCAAACATTTCTGAGATTTCAAAATTAGGGTTTTTGATAAAATAAGATGTAGGTAAAATTATTTTGTCATTGAAATCCAAGTAACTATTAGGTGATTATAGTATCAACAAAGCTCTAATAAAAGGGCCACCAACTGAAAGACTATCCAGTTTAAGCATACTCCTGGGACCTGCCTAGCATTTCAGCTCTTTATAAATTTCTTTCAAATCAACAACTTTTTACAAGACTGTAAAATTTGCCTATCATTATCACATCAGGAAACAAAAGCCTTTCTGTACTTTAACTGATTAACACAATAACTGCTACTTCATGTGATATTAAAAAAAGAAAAACCAAGAGATTGCACCATGTCTGGGTGGGGTACCCATTTTCTAGGGATAATCCAAAATCCTCTGTGTGGAAATAACAGCACAGACTATTCTAGAGCAAGAAGCAATTAGAAAAATGGAAATTAATATCAACTTCCTATTTCCAGAGTGCTTCAGATTGTATATGAAGATGATTTCTAAGACACATGACAAACTTGGCTAAATCACCTGTCCAAATCTGGTGTGGTAAGTAAACTGACTTGCAAAAGGAAAGTAAGAAATATATTTATCTATATATATTAAAAAATTTCCATTTTTATACCATTACAGGAGCACTGCTTTAATCACCAAGAATGAGTATTCATTTCCCATCCTGTAACTTGGTACACACATCCCTGTACTGGCATCTTCTAATTGGGATCAGGACTAAAGAAATAGCTCTTTAAAATCTGACTACAACTGCAATGAACTAAGTGACTGGATCAAAGCCTGGTTATTCATGGTGCTACTGCAGTCAGATGCAGCTTGCTAAATATTTAAAATACATAAAGATAAATATGCAGGCCTGTAAATCACTACAAACCAAAACAATAGATGATCTTTAAAGTCCCTTCCAATCCAAACCATATGATCCCATTTCTGCAAATGCCTCCTGGAAAAAGACACATTATGTGCTTCATTCGTTTTCCAATAAGCAATGTTCAGGAGTTTTATTATTATTAATTGCATATAAATTATCATGATTTTTGTATCCCTGGGAAAGTCTTTAGCCAGTCACCTCTCAGAGTAACAATGCTGAACAAAGGCAATGAATGCAAGGCATATAAGAACAATGCAGAGCACAGAAATTTATGCATGCCATTTAAAAGGCATGGCATTTTAAAAAATCAAAACTATGTCATAAATCTTTAATTATATGGAAAAAAAAAGGCCCAACTAATGTTTGTCAAGTCCTTGATAATATTTAAGCAAGAGCACTGCCTACTTCATGAGTGCAAAATCTTCTTATCTCACTTATCTGCATATATCCTCAACCTCCTCTGAAGTGCTCTGCTACAAAATTCATTGTATCTGAGATCTGCTAATCATCATCAGGAAACTCTGTTATGCATCTTAAGGACGTACTTTAAGCTCTCAAGAGGAAAAATAAACACGTTTTATTAGCTGCTTTTGGAAAATACTGATTTGTATTTATTTAGAAACCTTTTCAAGTTGCACCACTGTTAAATTAAATATTTATGGCATGATTTTCCAAAGAGTTTAATACCTGTTAAGAGTTTTACATGCTGACTTCAACAGGAATTCCAAGGACTCAACATTTCTGTAAAGCTCAGAAGTGACAAGTGGAGCTTGAGCTTGGCTGTCACTGCTGAGCTCTGAAATGCAACCAGGATCCTGGTTGCCCCTACTTCCCACCCCAGCACTGCATTTCAGACAACTGAATTGGTCCTACTTTACTGGAAATACCAGAAATATGACTCATTAATAACGGCAAATAAATCATAAGCTAAATGCTGTTAAATTAATCCTCAATGCATCCTCCCCATCCTTTACTAGTGGGAAACTCACTTGCAACTTAGAGGGGAGCCTAAAATCCCCAGTGAGTCAATAGCTGAAAAGCAAAGCTTTTGTTACTGAGAATGAGAAGCTGAACGAGGATAAAGCCAAAAATACAGAATAAAGAAGAAAAGATTCTGATATACTGTAAAAACCAGTATCTGGTGACAGTGGGGCCAGTGACTTTGGAATTTGGCTTCTCAGCCCAAACTGAAGCCCATGCCTCTGGCCTCAATGTCGAAGTTAAAAGAAGGGGTTAGGTTTTGCCATCCTTATTTTCCTCAGCTTCTGAGAGATTTGCACTTACTGTCTTTCCCCTACCCTGTTTTCAGGTATCCCATGTACCCTGTTCTTTCACAAACAGATGTTTTCTCACACCTTGTAGGTGGCTGCCCTCTTGCCCTCATGGGGGAAGTTTCAACACATGCCAAAATCTGAACAGTCCAAAGACATTATTTTATATTTCAAAATTAAATACCAGGATTTCCTTGTGGCATTTGGCCTATAATTCTGGCAGTAAATGAATAGGCAATAAATAAATAAATAAATAACATCTAAGTAAGAAATTACTATACATCAAAATGATTCAAATGATGATCCAACGTGACTTCATAAACCAAAGACAGATAAAATAGTTGAATATTGCAGATTGGACACATCAATCTCCTTATACATTTTACAGCACACTACAAATCTGCCCAGCAAGTTGAATATTTCACTCCTTAAAACAGGAACCTTCATCACACTATAAAACATTTTCAAATGCAGACCAGAAAACCGACAAGCATATTTACTGTAAAGCTTTGTATTTGTGTCATCAATTAACAACAAAAGTTTGGAATAAAACTAAAATAAAAGCTAATCAAAGCAGCTAGCTGTCAAAACAGATGGAACTATGGTTTTCAAATCAAGCAAAAAGGCAAAGCTTTCGAACATTTAGTGTCATGTCAGCTCATACAGACAACTTAAAGGAAGGACAGCACATGTCAGGATTTTATGAAGAAAAGGTGTCCCTCACTGATAGATTCACATTTATGAATTTCCATTGATTTTGGGGGGTTTTTGGCTTCAGGATGATTAACTCACACCAAAGCAGACCTCTGAAATGTGAACTGTAAATAAGGTGTCGCTATGACAGTGCAGGCAAAATAAATAAAAACAGAGCCCCGACATTATTTTAGCCTCAAACAAATGTTTTAGTCCCTACATTGTCTGGCTCAGAAAGATACATAGACAGTCTCACAGACAGAGATATAAATGAACAATTGCAGTACCTTTTTCCCACACTGTTTACAGGGTTGGCTATATTCCTACTGGCAATAGATTTTCTTCTTGACAGCTTCTTGGTGTTGGTGCTGTCATCAGTGCTGTCATCCTCTTTCTTTGGTGTGTTACTTCCTTTGCTGTTCAGGTCCCTTAGCACATTATAATTAATTTTACTTGAGATTTTCTTCTGTTCTAACATCTTTTCAATTGCCTCTCCTGCTGTGCTGGCTTGAATTGGCTCCCGCTTCTTTGCAGATTTCTTTGGCTTAATTAAAATATAAAATTAGTGATGTAGATACAAATAAAGTTTCCATGAAGCAGAGGGGCAAGCTGGAATGCAGCAGTCCTGGCTCAGGTGCTGCTGATGTGAGGGATGCAGGTGATGTGCCCAGGCTCAGCCAGTGCTCCATCTCCTGCCACTCAATGGGATCGAAGGGTCTCTTTTCTACAAGAGATGTGTGTTTGCTTTTCTGCCCAGAGAGTTTACTAGAAATACTTCACTTAACAGAGGGAGAAGAAGGATGGGCCATTTTTCACGTGTGGAAAAAAAAAGGGGAGTGAACTCCTGTTACAGGAATAGGGACCTCACAGCACCACCCAGCATGGAAATAAAGAATCTCCCGTGCTAAAAGTGCCTTTAAAGCAAGAGTGAAGCTGGGTCACGACTCCCCAGAGCACTGACAACTCCCTGTCAGAATGGCAATCGTGTTTCCTATTAGATCTGAATGCAGCGTGGAAAGGCTCTACCTAACTCCTCCTCCACACTGAAAAGGGTCCAAGCAGGAGCAGCAGCAGCTTCCCAAGCCTGGGCTGGCATCAGCACCGAGGGACAGGGGCAGGAGGCTGCAGACACGGGAGCACTGTCACCTGCAGCTGCCTGTCCCAGGCACAGGCTGCCAGCCCAGCTGATCCTGTGCAGAGCCAGGCTACCAGGAATGACACCAGAGATTTCCAGCCATGTCCCATGCCTGGGTAGGTACAAAAATAAAAAAATACAACCCAGAAGCTCTGTTTCTCATTTGGCATTTTCCTATTCAAAGGAAGGTTTTAACACCAAGCTCTGCAGGAGATTTATTTTTTAAGGGATAATAGCCCCTCTGTTTACCTACATGGGTCAAGTGCTACCTTGAAATTGGAAAGCACTATATTAATCAAGTTCTACTCGAGCTGTCAGAAACAATAAAGGGTTAGAGAAAAACTCCTGTGTTGTCCGAACAAAAAAGTGGGTGTTTGGGCTACTCGGCAGTGCCAATGAGTTATACAATTTTGAAAATTGCTGGTAGACTGCCACGTCTGCATAAACGCAGGATGAATGAGAAACTCTGAAGTATAAAACAGTGTTTCATTGTCTGGTTTTGTTTTTATTGTTGAAATACCTAGGGGAAGCAGGAAACTCTGCCTTTTGCATTAGTCGGAAAGAAAGATAGAGGATATACACACTAAAAACTAACATGGGTTTTAGCTGCATGTGGAAGATTTGACTTGTCACTTGCTCAATTACACAAAATACTAATGCTGTAAATTGTGAATATACGGCCAATTAGGCTGCTTTAAACTGCTAAACATGGAGACAGGACATGCCATTTGTTAACATAACCGTTGCATTCTTTATGAAAGGTAGAACAAAATACCCTTTCAAGTGACTGTAACAAGGATCTGTTCAGTTCTTCATAAAGAAATCATTATTGTAAGAGCAAAGAAAGCCACTGAAGTTATGGCAAGTACAAACAAATTCCCCATGCACATGTTAAAAAAAAATCAGACATGTCTTAAAACCCGTATTTTAATAAGCAAGCAATTAGAACAGCAATCATAAATGCAAAGAGCTAGCTCTGACTTTGACATGCACAGAATTTTCTCATAATAGCAATTTAAAATAAAAGTTTGGGCAAGAAAGTGTTTTATACACCACCTAAAAAAACACAGCCTTGCCATCCAGTAACAGCTGTACTGTATGTACTGTACAGTACAGATGTACTGTAGCCTTTGCTCCTTCAGTGGTGACCTGCACCATTATGCCCATACATCTGATCAGCAGATATAATTAATTTCCAGGACATTTGCAAACAGACACAATTAACACACAATTTAATACCTTGTGTTCCTTATAAATCCCAAGTTCTTTCTCTTTTGCTATTCTTGCTTCCTTTTCTGAAAGATACAAAAGGGTAACCAGCATGAAGATTACACAAAAGTGCATATTTCAGCAACATAAGGCAAACGGCAAATTTCAGTCCTACATACTTACTTACCTTTTTGTTCCTTCAAATAATCTGCATTTTCTTTCATCCACAGCTCTGCTTTTATCTGAGCTTCAGCTTCATTAAGTATATACTAAAAGGGAAAACAAATTTATCTACTTTCAGAAATCAAATTGAAAACCACAGAGCAAAACTGAACTGAAAAACCACTGGCAAGGTCAATCTATATCCCATTTTAAAAATACATTAAAAGAAAGCATGAGTGATATATGACAATCAGAAAGCATTTTTAGTAACATCTGAAGCTGGCACAAGCAAAAAAACCTGTTAACGAAAAACAGTGCTTGGTTTCCAAACTATGATGATGTGACCAAAAACCATCCAGGCCTCATTATACATGGTCTGTTAATTAAACAAAAATGATCCTGGGTTTATGATCTTTTTCAGATGATACAAGAGGTTATCATGACAACGTGGTTGTCTGTAAGTAATTCTGTGTGTTGATGGTGGTCTGTAATTCAAAACAGGACGGGAACCACTGCCCTGTGCAACCAAAACAAAAACATGTGTCTTCTGGGTAGGTTTCTGCAAAGCTGTACACAGTTACTGAGATTATTAGTTCAATGGCCACATCTGTGTGTAGGAAACCAGCTCAGATTGCTGGAGCTTTAGCCCTCTAGATTCAGACTGCTGGGTTCACTAACCACATGTAGACATTTGGCAGTTAACTCCACCTAGTCTCGGTAACATCTTTAGTGGGACTGGAGCTGTAAAATACATCTAGGACTATTCAGGTGCATCATAGAAATAAATAAGACAGATAGGTAGCAATTACTTAATTGTACACGACCTCAGTGTAAAAATTAACCCAGTATTTATCACAATTATCAATGAAAAGTTCTCTACAGACGATGCTGTTTGGGAGTGAAGAACAGCAGAATGAAGACAAATTAGGTCATCCATCATGAACAAGACACTTGAATTTCAAGCAGTGCACCTGAGACTTGTGAAACTATGTTTAAGTGCAAGAAAAGCTAACTGAGGTTTCTCCATCTTTTGGGTCCAAGCATTCTGATTTTCTCCGAAGTAAGATGTACATCTAGGATTTCATAAGAAAAATAATTCCAGTCAAATGAAACTAAGGGAGGAGTCCTTCCTCTGAGGGCCAAGCAGGCAACCAAATGGCTGTGCAAGTCCTGGTTTATCAGACCAATATTTTCACTCTTTCATCTGCTTCTATTAAAAGTGGGCCATAACAGTAAAATCCATTTCTTCCTAGCTCAGTTATTCATTCCTCTTAGGCTTTCAGAGATTTCATAATCTTGGGCAAACAATATTACAGTCTATTGCCACAGAAATGAACATGAAGTCATAAAAGCAGAGTTATGACCCCAACACAGAGCCTAGGAAGAGCAGAAAATGTGTTCTTCCCCTGTGATTGTTTAAATTATGGACTGGCTATGGTGAAAAACCTCAGCCTCCCTGCTCCCTCCATCCAGTGTTCACTCAGATCATGAGACCCTAATGCCCAGCCTAGCAAATCCCACCTCACAGCTACACTTTGGGGATCAGTAATTCCTGTGCAACCTCATCAGTCTCAGTGATTTTGTACCCCAAAAGAAGTTTTTAGCACTGGCATTATCTGTTCCAATGACACTGTAAACCAGTGTGGCAGCTGGAGAGGGTATCGGGCTCAGATGTCAAGTGTCCAAGTGCTGACCAGCCATGTGGCATCCAGAAAGACCTTTTCCACAGCCATGTGTCTGTCCCACTCAGTCTATATGTTAAATGGTATTTTTTGCTGCCACACAAATAAAAATAAATCCAGAAAACATTACAGAAATCTTTGGAAGTATATAGGAGCCGCACATGCTGGTTTTACAGTTTGGTTTCCATGGCAGCCTCCTATGTTGAATCTATCTTAATTAAATAATGAATTTAGAGCTCCACCAAACTTTTTAAAGTTCTCCTTTGGAATAAAAGACATTCTAAAACATAATTATTCCAGCATGTTAAAAGCAGCAGCAGCAGCAGCCTCATAAATATATATCTATAACTTGGGCAAGGAACACCAAATCCACAGGTCTGCATGAACATCAGATTTCAGATCACTGAAATTGCTCAAACCTCTCTATAGATCAGAGAGAAGAGGCTGTTGCAGAGAGAGGATAAACCAGGCAAGGACCATTTTGTCCTTCTCAGATATCCAGACAATCAGGATAAGAGGCACCTGGGACAACAGAGCACCTTACCCGATCTATTTCACTGTCGTCGATTCCACTCAGGTCTAATTCACCATCTCCTGTATTCTCACCTACAGAAAAGAACAGATTTTAATCAGCCCCTATGTTTGTCCAAAATCTATTGCAACTTCAGTCCTGCAGGAATGTAAAACTTCAGGACTGTCCTTCAGAGATTTGCATCCTTCTGCTTTCATCCGGGAGGTTTAATGTGTTGCTGAATATTTTCAATACAGAACTTCATGCACACAAATTCACCACATTGGATTAATTTAAAATTCAGGAACAAGCACAGTCTTCATCAGTACTAAAAATCTGCCAGAGACTTCCAGTCGCCTTTTTTTCACGCATTTTAATTTACAGCCACAAATGTTCAGCAGGAAGCAGGGGAAACCATTTCAAAATGATGACCACTTTTCTTTCATCATAACAAAAATTTCTCTGTCAGAGCATATAGGTCAGTAATTTATCTCTAAATTATGACTTAGAAAATATTTTCTATTTTCAGGGAAGCAGCACAGATCACTGCTGACAGTTACACCATGGCTTTCTTCTTGACTTTCTGTAATTACAGTTTCACTGCAATTTTGCTAGTTTGGTAGTTATTAAGACTTCTGAAAACAAATTTTCAAATATTCAGTCCATTAAAAAGCATAACAGCACAGAACTGAGGCTTAATTTGGGACTGGCACAGCATACAGCTGCAAAACCTGATTTTCCACATCACATTAAAGAACTATAGTAATACACTATTAATGTAGTCCAGGTAGAGAAGAAAACAAATTATTTAACAAAGACTTATGCTGGGGAACGAAGCAATCTTCTTGGTCATCTCCATTACATCTAATAAAGATCAAACAAGAGATGACCTCACCAGTTCACTTGCAGAAAAATATAAACAAATTAAGTTTCAACAATCAACAATAACAAATTCAAACCAAAGTGGTGCAGAACAGCTTGGCATGCTCACAGTTCCCACTCCCCAGTACTGAGGATGTGTCTCCTCACAAACCAAGATCTTTGAATGGATTGATTCCTCAGCCTGGAGCTCCTGCACAGTGCTGGACCAGAGGAGGGTGATGCCAGCAGCAGCTCTAGATCCAATGGCAGGTCATGGCAACCAAATGGTAAAGTCAAGCAAAGCTTGGAATTAAGAGCATTCCCAGAAGATAAAACAATGATCTGCTTGGCAAAACTCAGGGGTTTGAACCAGTTGCCAAAAGTACATGAAATCACAGGGCTGGGAATCCAACCAAAACACCTGGTCAGGAATAAAGTCTGAGCTTCCTGAGGGGGTGCAAAGGGTAGGACTGCTCAACTCAACAGACATTCCCTGGGATCAGCCACTGAGCACTCACAAACGGCTTTTCAAAATCCACCTTAAACCAACAGAAAGTTTTATACTTTCTACCCCAAGCTACAAGCAAAATGGATTTTAACCCCTCAAAAATATCCTGTCACAAGGAACAGCATAGAATTATCGGTTTCAGTTGGAAGGGACCTTAAAGACCACCTAGTTCCAAGCCCCAGCCATTGGCAAGGACACTTTCCACCAGACCAGGTTGCTTAAAGTCCCATCCAGCCTGGCTTTGAACACTTCCAGGGACAGGGCATCCACAGTTTCTCCAGGCAACATATTCTAGTGTCTCACCATCCTCACAGTAAACAACCTCTTTTTAATATCCAATGTAAGCCTTCTATCAGTTAGAAGCCATTCACTGTTATCCAGTCACAACATGCCCTTGTGAAAGGTTCCTCTCCAGCTCTTTTGTAGCTCATTAAGGTACTGAAAGGCTGGAGATGGGTCACCCCCAAGCCCTCTCTTCTCCAGGCTGAACAATTTCAGTTTTCTCAGCCTTTCATCATAGCAGAGGTGCTCCAGCCTTCTGTAACACTAAGGTTTGGGTTTTTTTTTTCCTGAGATTGTCTCACAGAAGTAATATCAAGTTTACCAGTTTGGATAATCTGGTGCTGATTTGACCAAAGAGGCTTTAAAGAACATTTCTCACTGTGGTTACATTTAGAAATTAATTGCACGTTAGTCCCAGGCACCAGATTTACTTTACAACCCTTTATCCCCAAAATACTTTAGAAGTGCAGAAGATTTGATAATAACTACATAATTGATCAGTACATATGTTTTTCTTCTGGTCTGATCTCTGCACGGTGCAGTAAAAGCAGAATTTTCTGCACCAGTGCCAGCAGCTCCTCATGCAGACACCCTGCTACCAGCCAGGCAGGGATGCACCCCCAGGACATGGGCAAGCACCCCCTGGCTTCAGGATGGGGAGGAAAACCAAGCTGACAAAATACATCTCAGTGGTTTTAAATGCAACTGACTGAAATTCTTTTAGCAAAGTATGAACATTCAAAGAGTGGAGAGGAATCACCCAAGGGAGTGCAGGACATTCTGCAAGACAGTACTGTACATCTCCCCTGTTGGAACTGAGACAGAAACTTCCAGTGAGCAAAACGGCTGAATTTCCACCAAGGAAATGAGTGAATACTGTAGTCCACTCCCTGAGACACCTTCCCAGGAGATGGTCCACCTGGGTCCAAGAAATGTTCCATCATATAAAATGAAACAGCTCAACAGCAGAGTGCAAGGGGAGTCCAGACCAGGATAACCTGGCTCCTAGGTTGGAAGGAGTTCATACAAAAATGGGACTCAGACTGGGTCTCCCATATTCTGGGTAGCACTTTAAACACCAAGTTGTAGGACAGAAGGAAAGATGGCCTCCACCTTCATTGCATTATCTACCCCTTGTTTCCTCAAGGGTTTTTTTGGGAGAAAACCCTCAAATTTTCAATTTGTTTTACCTGCATGAATACAGGATTTATTTTTCTTCACTATTCATTATACCAGACAAACTACATTGTCTACTGTCAACACAGGCTTGGAATTATGGACAGAGAAAAACATAGCCAACTTTGAAAACCACTAGTAAGTTCTGAAAATCATAGCTTAGAAAGACAAAACTTGGAAGTGGTGACGGACATACTCACTGTTCAACTTTATATAAAATTGATCCCAATATTTATTGTAGTAAAAACTGCCAAAGCATCTTAAAAACAATAAAAGTATCCCGCTGAAATCAAGCTACCACTGCTTTTCATCATTATACACCTTGCTCCTCCTATAGCTCGCTATATTTTTGGATCAGAGGTTTAAAATTTAATGTCACAGTACAGTAGGTGCCTGTTCTCTTATACAGCTCTAACACGCCAGACTGAAAACGATGCAATTTCAGGCACCATGAACAATTTCACTTGTCATTTTAAATATAACTTGTTACCGAATTAGGTGCCAGTTTTTCTCATTGGATCAATTAGCAACAGGGACAGAAAACTCATTCTCCAACTGTTAAATTGCAGAGAAGAATCCAGAAGCAAGTTACACGTAATAAGCATTTCTTAGACCCCCATAACAGCAGCAGAGGGAGTAATTGCAGGATATCCCTCTGCCTGCAAATCTTCCTTTTTCCTGCCATGGCGATAGGCATTCATTAAATGGGTTTTTCAGAAGTGAAGGTACCTTCAAATCCCTAGTTTAATGCTCTCACTGAGGAAAAAAACCTACATGTTTCATTACAGAATGCCAATTCAAAATAAAACACATCCTTTTTGGCATGAAAATTTCCATGGCAATCATTTCCAACAGGAGTAGACTCTACCAGCCACAAATATCTGTCTGCTTGATGCTGCACAGCTCACTGCAGGGCATGGAAAGCAAATCCTTTGCTTTTTTATATACCAGAAACATCTCCCCAGCTGCTAAACTTTTCAAAGATTTCCAAATTATCATTTTCTCTTTTAATAAAAGGGTCGAAATGAAATGTTCGATGAAATGAAAACACAGATGTGGCCAACATCTGGTCCAGCCTCTTAAGAGCTTATTTAAAAGCAGTAGCATCACGTGGCACAGCTCTGAGACATCACAGATTTCTACTGTTAAGAAAAAAAACACTTTACTGCAGGGCACAGGCAAAAAAATAAGTTGGGCATTAAAAACAACAACACTCCTTCCCTTCCCTACAAATCCAGTTGTTAAACAAAAGGATCACCAGGAAGAGCTCAGAGCAAGGACCAGCCTACTCCATCCTCACCCAACATCTCTGTAGCAAGTGGAGGAGGACGGGCACTTCTAGAGCTTTCCATCAAGGTACTGAATCAGCTACATTCATACTACCTAAAACCATCAATCATCCAGCCAGCTCCCCAAAAATTTCAAAATAAACTCCCCCCAGACCCTCCCCCTTACAGCCTTTTAACGCCCTTCCAACCAATTCCAGTAAACATGAGGGCTACAATCAGACACTGGGGATTAGGTTTGTAAACCTGTAGGATTATTTACTGTTCTTGTCATTACTAAATACACACTAAACCATCTTTTAACACACCCTCTGCCCCTCTCCCCACCTCTGTGCAGCTAGTTAAAATGTATACATAGTCCACTATTATGGGGACTTATTACAGAAGAATCATTCCAGCCCATATATTTTAAACCCCGGATTTTTAAAAACAGCCACGTGAAGAATATGTTTTTCTGTTTCTATTAGAAGAGGCAGCACTATTTATTGCTCTGCCCAGATAAGAGGATTTCCTTACAGACAGAAATGGAGGCTGAACACTTCCCAGGAAATCCTCTAGAGCAGATATAATAGAAAGGCATTTGGTCCTCTGGTCCTATGCAGCAAATACATCCTTCATCACACCGTTTCACAGCAAAGAATTTAAACAAAGAACCTTTCCACCTATTTGGCACAACACCAGACACTAAGCACTTCCAGTATTTAAGACATACTTTGGGGCTAGAGCACAACGAAATCTGAAAAGAGTTGGGAGATGCATTTTCAGCTACAAAAATCCTCAAGCAACAAACCAAACAACCTGAGCCCGCGGCAGCAGAAACACTGGATTGATTGCTGCTCTCCAGGGAGGAATTAAATCCAATGGGAGCCACAGAAAGCTCCCACAGACCATCAGAGGGATCCAGTGGGCAGAAATGCTTTAACATCTCAAATTGATGAGCAACGTCGGTGCCACTTTGGGGAGCGCAAAGGGAAGGCGGTGG